TCACCTTCACAAGTCCTTCTGATCAACAACTAGTTTATTTATGTATGATGTCATTACTTTAAGGACGTTGTGAATAATTTTGTCAAATAGTTTAGCTTGAGTACAAAGATGTAGTTTGAGGAAGAATTTTCTTAATTTAGTTTGTCTGTTCTATGAATATCCCTTTAACTACCTGTGCGTGCTGATTGTTTTAATTTCGTGTGGTGATTATCGTAAGTCCCGATGTTCAGTTTGATTGAGAACAAGAAAAGGCTTAAGTGTGGGGGAATCTGATAAGTCCGTATTTAGACACACATTTGATGCGTATTGGGATCTACTTGTGATGGTTTTCCTAGCTTTAAGGTGTTACAAGTCTCAATTTTAGCTCAAGTTATGTTACAAGACATTGGTTCGGGTTTTATGTCATTTGGAATCAAAATCAGAGAATTTGAGCCCAACACCGGCACTTGAGAAGCAATCGGGATGATTGATGATGCATTCGAGAGATAATTGAGAGCTTTGGAGGTCACCGGGAGGTTCACGATGAAGATTTGAAGACAAAAGAGCTCTAGAATCGGTTACGGGATCAAAAGAAGACAAATAGAGCTTGAAAACGGCATTCAGGACGACCTTCTGTCAATCGGTTAAGCATATCTCTTTGTAGAAGCATCCAAAGGACACAATTCAAGTGGCATATGAAAGCCAACTTCAAAGGATACAAATCATATGAAGATATCATTCCAAGAATCGCAGAGGAGAAATGTGAAAACAGATGATGAAGTCGGATGATCGCTGTTGCGATTTCAGAATGAGATCTTCCACCATTTTATTCATATCTCTTGATTGGACGATCCAAATACATTTTGGCAAATTGTGGTGCATAAAGGACTTCATTATCTACAACTTTCATGAAGGAAGCATCGTCAAATTCGGATAGGAAACAACTCTGAAGCTACTTCCAGTCACGCACGCCGTGCGTGTTGAGTTTGCACGCCGTGCGTGCACAAGAGCAGAAGCGAGGAAGCTACTGGAGGGTACGCACGCCGTGCGTGGGCACGAAACGCGCGATTTGTTACGGACGCACGGACGCCATGCACGCCGTGCGTAGCACCGTGCGTGGGTCCGAAAACCTAGTTTTAGTCAAATTTTGCCTTTTTTCTTTAAATAAGGCCTCTATGCTCCCATTTAAGGGGGGTGGAACTTAGAGAGCAACTTAAGGGCGAATTTTGAGAGCTTTTCAGCCTTGGTTTTTCAATTCTTTAAGATTCTTTGTAAGTTCCTACTTTTTAATTGATGGAGTTATGGGACTAGGCCCAGAGCCTAATCGGCCCAAGCCCCGAACTTGGACCCGTGGGTCCAGGTCCACAACCCGGAGCCTGCCTACCATCCCAACGGGGAGCCTGCCAGTTCGGCCGACTTGCCAACCAGGAAAAGTAACAGTCAAGCAATTAATGCGCGTTTTATTATGTATTTAATTCTGTATTAATGTTGTAATTAATTAGTCATTATTATCGGTAGCGGTTACGAATTGTATACGCCTATAAAGGCACTTTGTAATTCAAACTAAGGAAGCGAATTCTACAGGCTATTTCTGACAACTAAACACTTTTAGCTTCTTTCCTTATTCATATTACTTTCTTGATTCCTGCTTGATTGTCGTACGTAGCTTTCCTAAAAGCCTACGAGCGTCCTATTTTGGACCAACATTAATTAATGACACTTATTTCTATTTTTCCCAATTCTATTGATTCTTCAATTATGAGTCGGGAGTAGTTTTAATTAGGGATTTCGGATTGATGAAGGGTTAATCCTGATGTATGGTTAGTTTCTTGATGGTTTAATTGCATGAATGTCGTTTAATTTGTGTTTGAACAATTTAATTGCTATCTTTTGTAACCTGGAACCGCGGCTAGACTTACAATTGCTTGTAGAATGAATTAAGAGAGATCTAGTTTATTCTAAGACACCTTCACACACTTAATCGTTCGCTAAGAGATTAGTAGCGATTAAGGGGCTGTAAGCTCGCTCGTCTTGGTAATAATTTAGGATCATGTCGCATGAGAGATCAGCATGTTCCCCTAAATTATTGTACTCTACGCCGCGAGAGCGGTAAGAACTTGGTATTGATTAGCTAGGCTCAATTAAATTAATTTCATGTAATTAGGCCTGATCTGCCAGAAATCTGATTACCCCGGAATCAATCCCTGTCCCCTTCGTCATTAATTAGAAAGAACCCATTAGTTTGATTTCTTTATTCGCATTAGTTATTTTTCCAAACCACCCAATCTCGCACAATTGCATTTTATTTTATTTCTTTTTAATCGCTGAATTTAGTTAATCTTCAATTCCCTTTTGTCCGTCCCAGTGGAGACAATACTCGTACTTTCAACCACTTTTCTACAACCTTTTTAAGTGCGATAAAACGCACATCAATATTATAGTTATCGGTCCTCCCCTCTTGTCGATTCTTTCATTCACATCATTGCTTCTTAGTTTTCCGTGAAAGATTTGTGTGATCTTAATTATTTCTTGGAAGTTCAGGATGTTCGCACTCCTACATGTCTCTTTCTCTCACAACAAAAATATGTGTCTGATCTGCTGCATCGTTTTCACTTACACACTCTCAAAATCTGTAAGCACCCCTGACTCCCCTAGCCACCAAGCATTACTCTAGCACTCTCTCCCTCACTGATGGTGAACTCCTAGCGGATACTACGGAGTATCGCAATATGGTAGGTGCATTACAATATTTAATTTTGGCACACTCATTTTATGCATGTTCCTTGTACTACTCATATGCTTGCAGCCAAGCGCATTTTCAAATATTTACAGGGGACTCTTGATCATGAATTATGGCTCTAGTCCTCTGCTAGACCATTTGCGTATTTTGGCATATTCTTATGCTGATTGGACTGACTGTCTGGATAGTTCTCGCTCTACCACCAGATTTGTTATTTCCTTGGGGGGAAAAGGGACAGATAAGCCCTTATATAGGAGGCTATGTCCGGCCATCGTCATTTGGGGCGGTTCCCGGTGGAAAGTTTTGATGCTAATTTTTGAGCATATTATTCATTAAGTTTAGTTTATTCATACCAAATTTCAGCTAAAACGTCAATCGGGAAGGCATTCAAATGAATTCTTGAAGATAACTGCGCAGTTAAAAGCGCAGTTATCTTCAACAATTTATTTGAATGCCTTCCTAATTGAATTGTTAGCTGAAATTTGGTATGAGTAAACTAGAATTAATGAATAAGTTTTTTAAAAAATTTCATCAAAAAATTCCGCCGAGAACTGTCATTTGACCCTTTTTTGTTAGTATGTGGGCTTATTTGCCCCTTTTTCCTTTCCTTGGGTCATAATCATGTCTCTTGGAAGTCCAAAAAGCAATCTATTGTGTCCAAGTCTTCTACCGAGGCAAAATATTGTGTCGTCGCCTACACTGTTCAGGACACCACACATATCTGTTGTGTTATGTTTGAGCTCGGGTTCCTGGTTCGTGTGACAGTTCATCTTTTTTTTGTGATAATATTTCAGCATCATATTTGACTGCCAACCCTGTTCAGCATGGTAGATGCAAGCACATCCAAATTGATTACTACTTTATTTGTGAGAGAGTTGCTCATTGTGATTTAATAGTTAAATATGTTCCTACTCATCTTCAGTTAGTTGATATTTTTACAAATATTTTTTCGAGTCAGTAATTTCATTTTTTGAAGGATAATATATAATAGTTAGGGAGAACTACCCAATAAGCCCTCGAACTTTCATAAAAAGTGCAAATAATCCCTTTTATAGGAGGATCTGTCCGGACGTCGCCATTTGGAGCGATTTTCGGTGGATTTTTTTGATGAAATTTTTTGAGCATCTTCCTCATTAAGTCTAGTTTACTCATACCAAATTTCAGCTAAAAGTTCAATCCGGAAGACGGTCAAATAAAATTTTGAAGATAACTGCGTAGTTAGACAGCGTAGTATATTTCAAAAATTCATTTGACTGCCTTCTCGATTGAAGTTCTAGCTGAACTTTGGTATGGGTAAACTAGACTTAATGAATAAGATGCTCAAAAAATTCCACCAGAAACCACCCCGAATGGCGACAGCCGGACAAAGCCTCCTGTAAAAGGCTTATTTGCACTTTTTATGAAAGTTCGAGGGCTTATTTGATAGTTCTATCTAATAGTTAATACGGAGTACTCCCTCCGTCCCATATTTATCTTCATAGTTCGGTTTACGATGCTTGAGTCACGATAAAACAACTTGATCCCTATTCACACTCATATTATTTTTAGTAAATTAAATTTACATATTCAGAAATTACATTAAATCCGCTACAAAGTCTAATCAAGAAAATTTAAGTTTGATAAAATTTGATATATAAAGTAAAAGATTAAGAGTAATTTGAATTGACAATGTAAATACAATAGTAGTAACTATGAAAATAATTTTGGGACAGAGGGAGTATAAGTTAGGATTTCTAATGCATTTGGTAGCTACTTTATACTTCATTCGTCCCCCAATTAAGTTCCCAGTTTGACTTCACGCATATTAAGAAAATAAATTTGACTTTACTGCGGAGTGCACTGTTTTGCACTGTTCAAACACTGTTTGGACATTGTTTGACACTGTTTTGATGTACGAGTAGATAATTTTCCAAATAAGGAAAATAAGGAAATGTGAACTTAATTTAGGGACTGTCAAAAAAGGAAAGTGGTAACTTAATTGAGGGACGGGGAGAGTATTATACTCCCTCCGTCCCAATTTGTTTTGTAAAGTCAACATTTTTTTATCAACCAATAATAAAAGTCAACCCTCCGTATGGATAATTAATTCAATTTTTAATAATTAAAATTTGCATATTCATAAACTACATTAAAATATCTTCAAAGTTGTAAATTCCAAATGAACATAATTAAAAATTGAATCCAAATTAAGTGAACAAAATGAAACCGTTTAAGTAAGAAAAGTCAAATTTGAGTGTAAATATATTGGTCATGACCCTTCTTAGGGTAACCCGTTCCAATTGTTTACATTTTCTACTAGCCTCATACGAGTGACGATTGACTTCTTATCTTCTCATTTCCGTTCTCGAAGTCCGTTTCTTCCATTAGTCTCAACCCATATAAGAAGTAATATCTGAATCCGAGGTCATTATCATCATATTGAGTTCCCAAATCTCTCACTTTTCCAAATAAATCATTGAGCAGAGTTCGATTGCTGATGAATGGTAGGTAGGGGCATGACCGCATGACCAATGATGTTACCGATGGTCGATTGCCGGAGTTTGATCGAGTTTTGCCGATCATTCGAGCCGCGCAAGAACAGGAACCGATTTCAATCCAATCCTCACAGGCTTCCCAGGAACAATAAGAATCACTGCCACTCCAATCTGCTAGCGCACCCCTTTTGCAGCGATCACTCCCGCATGGCTGCTCTTGATGCGGTTATACTCATCCTGGTAATCGGATCCCTCGGGTTTCTCTTCATCCCGTATTTCATATCCGTTACCGTTCATCTCATCCCGATTCTTATCGAAATCGTCGTCGAAGTCATCAGCGATGCCCCCGCTGCGTATTTCGTGGGCTTGGTGGCGAGCCTTTTAGGAGTGGTCGCCGTCATCGTGGCTTGGGAGATCGTCGATCTACGATCTAGGAAGTGCGGGAACCCGAATTGTCAGGGGTTGAGCAAAGCGGTGGAGTTCGATATCCAGCTCGAGTCGGAGGAGTGTCTCAAGTATTTGCCGGCGGACGCCGCCGCAAACGGGAACGTGTTTTACAATTACGGATCGAAGCGGTTGGATTTGGGGCAGGATCGGAAAGAACTTGAGGCGGAGCTCAAGAGAATGGCGCCGCCCAACGGACGGACGGTCCTCATCTTCCGAGCACCCTGTGGATGCCCTGCAGGTAGACTCGAAGTTTGGGGCAATAAGAAAACTCGTAAGATTAAGAAATGAATCATCATCACCGTAGTATTTTTTTTTTTGGCAAAATCACCATAGTATAATTAATAAACATACTCTGTAACTTTATATACATACATTATGAATAAATAAATAAAGTACTTGATGATTAAGAAATGAATCATCATCATCATAGTATATTACTCCGTAGTTAATTGTTACAAAGCCTTCATGTTCCGAATAAGAATGTTGTCGGGTCTTCTTACTTGAATATTACTAATTTAGAGTCAATTTCAAAAAAACTTTTACAAGTATAGAAATGTGACCAAGAAGGTCATATAATTCATCCGTTCCATAAAAGCTGCAACATTAGAATTTATGCACTATTCATACACCTTACTTTGATTACGATTTTCTATTAATATATATAATAAAAATATTATACATAAAATATTAATAAATTTGTATTAATATAAATTTCCAATATGTTAATTTTTTTAAATGTTTACTAATATGTAAATAAATATAATTATAGTCAAAGTTGCGCGTTGGTAAACGTGAAAGTCAAATTGTTGTAACTTTTATTGAACGGATGATAGTATTTGAAAAAACATAGTGTGTCAGATTTTTATGTCATTGTTAGATTTTTATGTCGTTAATTATATGTCACTTTTGAATGTCACTGCCGGTTTTCATGTCATTTTTGAATGTCATTGTCGGTTTTCATGTCACTTTTATATATCACTTCCATCAAACGTGTTATTGTGCCGTTAATCATGTGCATCTAGTGCCACCGTCCCACCCGTTACAGTGCGATCTACCACCAACATCCCACCCACTACCATCTACCCCTCCCCATGCCCCAGACCCTGCCCCTGTCCCGCTCCTGACCTGTCCATAGCAACCCTCCCTTACTCCTGCTTGAATGCACTCCCCTCCCTACCCTCTTCCCCCGGCCGTCACAACCTTCCCCATCCCCTCCGCTAATCACCTCCAACCACTTCCCCTGCCCAAACCCCTCACTGCCCTAGGCCCCAACCATAGTCGTCCGAAACCCTAGATCCACGATCTCAAGTTGCATTGTTATCTTCTATCAGTTGGGATCGTCGTCTCGTCTGAAACCCTAGATCATCATCGTCGTTTCTCGTCATCCCTCGCCGTACGAGCAGAAAGAGATGAGATGAAGATGAGAGAAAGGAACGAAGATGTGGCAAACCTGGTCGACGACGACGATCGAACCAGGATGACCGACGATGACTCGGTCTTAGGGCGTCGACGTTGGGATGCGAGCCAGGGCAGGGGACGACTGAATCTTCTGATTTAGCCAGCGACGTATTGCACTGGAGCAATGAAGACGATAACAATGGGCCAAAGCAGTTCGATTAGATTAGGAAAATTTAGCACATTCAACTTTAAATGGTCATTTTTTTGTCCAACAAAAAAATTATCATATATTTGTCCATGTAAACCCCACAAATAATATTGGTGCCATTCTATGTTCTTATGGTCTTTCCACTATGTATGAATTTTATTGTAGAATATAATCTTCTAACACTATTTCTCATATACTCCTTATTAGGAATGTGGTACTTACTATTACTTGGTACTATTTTGTCATATAACACTTGCTCAATTTCTTTTTTAACCGATTAAAAAATGGCTTTCTCGTTTATTTTTTCATTTGCACAAATCTTAATTACATAGTATTTACTTTATTATTTTATATGCAAGTTGATTTTAATGAAGTTTTATGGGACATAAGAAGCACGTAGTATTGGTTTAACGTCGTAGAATAAATTGATAGATATAGAGCCCGTTTGATAATATTTAAATATGTTGTATTGGTTGATTCTGCTGATTTATGAAAAATTATATGAAAAACATTTAAAACGATTTTATACAGTAACTTCAGTCAATACATTCAAAAAAATATCTACGGCCTTGTTTTTTCTTATTACTAACGTTTTTTACCCGTGCGGTGCACGGGTTATTAGAACAATTATTATTGAAAAAATGACTCGGTTATTACTATTGGACTTTTAGTTTCCAAATATATAACTCTTCTCATATTTTCCAAAAAAAGTGAGCCCTCCTCTTTCTTTCTTTGACGCAGCGTCAATCTATTCTGCATTTCAGGGGCATCTCACGATCCTGCATCTTCATAGCATCACCGTCGTGCCGTGCACCATTGCCGCGTCGCGCACCACCACCGTTGTGTCGCACACCATCAACGCACCACCGCGTCGCGCATCAGCACCGCACCACTGAGTTGTGCACCACCACCGAATCCCCACCTTCTTTGCGCGCAACCACATGGCGGACTGACTTCGGTGGCAACTATCGCTGGACTCCAATGACGGCGGCGACCATCGTGCTGCCGCTACTTTCATATCTCTTCTTCTACCACGCCTAACTTGTGTTGCCATGATTCAGATCTGAAGTGATTTGAAGCTTCATGGTCGATCTAGATCTCGATTTGGGTTTTGGAAGGCGGAAATGGTGGGCAACGGCCGTTAGGGTTGGTCTGGGGTAGAGAGGGCGTTGCTTTAGGCGACGACGGCTACATTTGGTTCGCTTCTGGTGGGGGTGCAGCGAGGGTTCCATGGTGGTGGGGTGGTGGTATGGCTAAGCTTTGGGGCGAACTGGTCTAGGGTGGATAGGGGGCGGTGCAGGGGAGGGGGGTTGGGCGGTTGGTGACCGTAAATGGGGCTGGGGTTCTCGGAGGGGATTTGGGGGGTTGGGGAGGGGTGGTGACGACAGTGGTAAGCCAGGTGGGTCAGATGGCGGTGAACGGAGTTGGGCAGACAGTCACTTTGTTCGGTGGGTGGGAAGTCACTTTGGGCGGAGTAACTGAGATAGTGACTGGTGTCAGCGGCGGCGGTGCCGGTGATAGTGACAGGGGTGGCGGTAACGGTGATAGGGGCGACGGTGCTGTGGTCGGCAGTCCGGTGGCTGCAAAATAGGGACTACTAAACAAATATATAAAATGAATATTAAAATAATAAATGTATGATTAAATACAATAAATAAATGACTTTTAGTCACTTTTTTTTGAAAAATTAAAACATGTCACATTTTTGTCTTTTTCATTCAGTTTAGTAATATTGAAATAAAAAGGCCTTCAATGCAAAAACTCAATATATTTTTGTTTATGTTTTGTTGCTCTATAAAACTTGTTTTAAATAATCTTTACATAAAAGATCCGTCATAGAAAGTTTGGAATATTTTTCTCTCTAGGGTTACCTTCGGGTAACGCTTAGCTTTTTCCCGTCCGCTATCGACTTAGTCGAGGGGCGGGGTCGGGGTTTCTTCGGCCGTTTTGTGGATTCTCGTTTGTTTGTATTTAGTAATTCGGCTTTGGGAAGGGATTCGATCGCAAAGAGGGTCTGTTTCGAGGGATTTGGTGTTGAGACAGGCGGCGGCTGATTTGAGGCGGCTATATCGAAGGAGCTTCGAGCTGCACCAAGGTTCTGACAGAAGGTTAAAGCAACAGGTTTGCATGGACAGTTTCGTGGAAAAATACAAGAAGATGGCGTTTGGGGCAGGGGAAGAAGAATCGGATCTAGATGAAGCTGATGTTGGGGGTGTGGCGGATGAGTGGCAGGCGTGTCCCCCTCCTGAGCCCCGCCATGAAGCGCAAGCAAATCTAGGGGTTAGAAGATGAGTGAACTCTATTTTAATTGTGTTTTATTCAGTTTATGCTTTTCTGTCGAATTGCATGTTGTTTTGGACGTGTTCTTTTTTCCTGGCAGAGAAATTCTTAAATTTAGGTTAGGTGATGAGAAGTCTGGTTTGACAGTCATTGGCTCAGTTATGCCCATTACAGAATCAATGAATGTTATTGCTTTTACAGATGTGATAGATTCTTAATCTGGTTCGAGGGCGGATGACAAACATAAAGCTTTTTATCGTTTTGTTTACTCTTTTTTCCTTGATTGTATTATCAGCCATGTGACGAATATTATTTTGATTTAATATATTAGTTGAATTTGATGATAAAAAAATTATCTTTACATAAATATAAATTGATTCAGTGTGCAATTTGATAGTAACAACAACAATTACACAGATAATCAATTATTGAAATAAATCTTATTTATCTATTCCAAATACTACCTCCGTCCTATTTTATGTGTTTTGTTTGACTTTGGCACAATTATTAATAAAGTGATTGAAAAATTAAAAGTTATGGTTGAAAATTGAGTATAATAAAGTGAAATGTTGTGGATTACATACTTCTTTCCAAAAAGGAAATGTGACACTAGTTTTGAAACAACACAAAAATGAAAGTACGACGCCGTAAAATGGGATGGAAGAAGTACAATCTAATTACACCAGACATTTAATTGGTGTATAGTTTTGTGTATATAATTTAACCCTATATCATGGACTCATGGTCCATACGTGTCATGTGATGTATCATACCCGACCATATCATGGTTTCGTTTCAGATCCAGTTCAAATTACACGATAAAATGGGTAAAAATACATTCGACCCTTGTGTCGTGAACATATTTCAAAAAACTTTCCTCATCCAAGGCTCCAATGTAAAATCATTTGGAAGCTCCATTTGCTTACTATGTTTTTCAGCTTATCAGACTTATCAACTAACTTATTAATCAAACATGAGACTTTTTATTTCGCGCGCTAGATTATGTAATAACAAGAAAACGTGAGGTTAGATTTACTTTTGTAGCTGTATTAACAGAAATTACAGTAGATGACCATTTTAACTATTTTTTATATAATTTTTTCTTTATTTTATTAAAAATATATATTTTAAATATAAATTCGGAAAATGGCATATATATTACTAATATACTTTTCATTCCAAAAAGTATTACTCATTTTCCTTTTTCCAAAAAAGTGACCTGGTTTTAACTAATTATTACCTTATTTTAATTATTGACTGACTCCCATTTAATTTAGGAAATTGCCCTAAATGGGAGTAAATGAGGTTTGAAATTCCAAAATAAGACTACTATACTTTTTCCCCCGAAATAGGAGTTGTTACTGACGTGTATGAAAAATAATGTCATGATTGAAAATTATTGTCATTAAATGCATTGTACTCCAACTATTTGACAGTCATGTCTACAAGATAACAGTAAATACTGTCAAGTTAGTCATATTTCGGGAATAAAAACATAATAGTCATATTTTGGAATTCTAAACTCCATTTACTCCTATTTTGGGAATAAAAACATAATAGTCCTATTTATTTCCTTTCCTATTTCAATTCATTCCATCTTCCGCATCTACCTTGAC